CCCGAAATTCTATATTTAAACCAAGGCGTGAAAGTTATAATTAACTGAGGGTTTGGACCAAATCAAATCTACTTTTTTATTTAATTTAATTGTTTTAATTTGATTTATATTTTTATTGAAGTTACTAACAGTTTATTCATGATGTAGCAATTCAAGGAAACGCGAAAAGTGAGTAATTAATCACTTAATTACTCTTATTTTTATTCTTGTTGCTAGTATCATGATTAGGTTTATAATTTATATTTGATTTGACTAACATTATTATTGTTAAATTTCTTCCAATATTAATGTTAATTCTATTATATTTTTTATCGATCACCATATTGCATGTTTAAAGGGAATATGTAATTGAAAATCACGCCTAATTAGATAATTTGGACAACTGGTTTAGGTTCCTTTTTAATCTTGTTATTTAATTCAAGTGATCACAAATATTTTAGAATTATGTGTTGCATTAATATTTAACCAATTTAGCCTAATAATAGTTTGGAGCAAATTAAATATTTTGTTTGTATGCCTTTGAGATCTCAAGAATCACTTTTCACTATAAGAATCGAGTATAGGCCAATACGGGCGAATGTGACTCCATGACTCACTTCGTACCATCATCCCCGATCCTCCTTTCGTGGTTCTGAACCATATGGAGTTAGTAATCTCATGGATTATGAATGGGGTGTAACCTTCACGGGTCAATTGTTGTTGCCTTCGTTGTCCCTTTATTGTGGTTTCCTTTTATGATCCGTGAACGGTTTACAAGTTCCTTAAAAACTTGTTGGGGCCTCCCTACTTTCCTTGTCCCTAATCGTATTATGTCAATTCCCACTTCCTATGAGTGCCAAGCATATTCACACATGCTTTAACGTAGGCGCACATCGAACGACGCCTACAGTGCCTCATAGTTTTTATCCAAATTTTATATGGTTGGATATTCCTTGAAATTATCTTTCCAATGATATATTATAATATCAATTCCGAGCTATAACGGAAAATATATGAATAAAATATCAAACTCTATCCAAAACTGACACCGTCTCACTATTTTGGCTATATCTTTTATTCAACAAAATATTTTAATCTGATTCTAATTGGATTAGAAAGTAGACTTCAAGAGCTTTCCAACGATATCTTATTTATCTTATTCTAATTTCTGGATCAAAAGATATGATAAAAACAAAAACCACAAAAACTATAGTCTATCGAGTTTTATTCCGATTTAATTCGGATCTTATCTTGTTTTTTCGACCCTTCTTTTTTTCTCTATAAATAAAGGTCATTTCTCCCCTTTTATCAATCATGAACAAGCTTGATAAAATCCTTCTCTCTTTTCTCTCATTTACACCAAAAATCATTCTCTTCTCTCTCCCTCATATTCTAAGCCTTAAACCTATATTTCTAATTACACCATTCTTTCCATAAGCACTCCAAGGAGTCCATAATTAACCCGAGGTTCCTTCCTTAAACCAAGGCGTGAAAGGTACAAATAACTGAGGGTTTGGACCAAATCAAATCTACATTTATTTAATTTAGTTTTCATTTGATTTATTTTTATTGAAGTTACTAACAATTTATTCATGATGTAGCAATTTAAAGGAACGCGTGGAATGTGAATAATTAATTAATTTAAGGAAAAATTGAAAAGAATAATCCCACCTTTCGCCCATCTGCTCAAAATAATCCTACCTTTTTGAATTCCAGAAATAATCCCACCTTGTAACCCTATCTTCCCAAAATGAACCTTTTTCATTTAATGACCGGTTTTTTGAATTGGTAACCTGTTTTAAAAGGTAATTTGACACGTGCCACATTTTAATTGGGTTTTAAAAAAAATTAAAGAATTGTTTAAAAAATTAAAGAATTTTAAAAAAAAAACCCCTCTTCTTCTTCCTTCCCCTGCCACTCTGTCAGAGCTCCTTTCCCTCGCCGGACTAGCCACCGCCGACCAGCCAGACCCAGCTGTCCGCCAGAACGACCAGACCCAGCCGGCCAGCCGCCCTCCTTGATTCCCTCCCACCAAATTCACCAATCACCACCAAATCGTTTCTCCGGTACGGTCTCTCCAAACCAACCACCACTAAACCCACACCCACCAAATCGCCACCAATCACAACCCCTCTTAACTCCCGGGATATGCCAAGCCACACCAACAACCCCACAACACCACCTTTAAATCATTTGTTGCCGCATTAATCAACCACCACACCACCTCCAAATTCGCCCAACATACCCCATAACAACCACCAGTCCACCACTGCACTAACTCCGCAATTACCCCAACTCAGCCACCGTGATGTCGCAGCTCCATAAATCGCAGCCACAAGCTCCAATTCAACCCATAACGCTGCCACAAGCTCCAATTCAGCGATTGAGGTGGGGTTTTGGGTTGTATTTGCGGTGATTCCATCATCCCCGATCCTCCTTTCGTGTATTTGAGGCCAATACGGACGAATGTGACTTTATGACTCACGTCGTACCATCATCCCCGATCCTCTTTTCGTGGTTCCGAACCATATGGAGTTAGTAATCTCATGGATTATAAATGGGGTGTAACCTTCACGGGTCAATCGTTGTTGCCTATCGTTGTCCCTTTATTCGTGGTTGCCTTTTATGATCCGTGAACGGTTTACAAGTTCCTTAAAAACTTGTTGGCGGCTCCCTACTTTTCTTGTCCATAATCGTAATGTCAATTCCCACTTCCTATGAGTGCCAAGCATATTTACACATGCTTAATGTAGGCGCACTTCAAATGACACCTACAGTGGGGCTAGCCACCGTCCAGCCACCTTCAAGCAACCCCTCCCTCCTTCCAGCACCCTTGCTCCCTATTCAACCCACCAATCAATCAACCACCAACAACTACGCCTTATCAACAACAGCCCCAATCAACCACCATCCCTACCGGTGCTTCATTATCAGCCACCCCTCCCCGTGCCAACTACCAGCGGCCAAACGATCCCCCGGCGCCGACGACCCCACCCCCTCTCTTTCCCCTACCCACGCTGCCCACCTCCTTCCTTATACAACATTTCAATTAACCACGTGCAACAGCTGCCGTAACTTCACACACCTAACAACAGTGCCCCAACCACCACCGTTCACATCACCTCAAACCACCACTGACCAACACCACCTTTCATAGCAGTCCGCTCAATCAATTCTCCCCTGCCACCTCACGCAAAAATCAAGTAATTACAAAGAAAGATAGAAGGAATACCGACGACTTTTGGAGATGCACCGAAACCACCACAGCGGACACCAAAGCCGCTACGACCACCGCAGTCACCTCAAACACCGCCATCGCGAGCGCTCCTGAAGCTATCGTTGATGTTGTTGTATGATCTGAGGAGAGAGAAAAAAAATTGGACCTTAAAACTATTTAGGGTCGTTTTGAGGGAAGGGGAGAAAGGGTGGTGTCGGGATGGGAGTGTGGGCAGCCAAGAGTAGGAAAGGGGAGGGAGATGGGCAGCGTGGGTGGGAGAAAGGGAGGGGGGTGTGGTCTTGGACGCCGGGGGATCATTTGGCCGCTGGCAGTCGGCAGGGGGAGGGGTGGCTGACAACAAGACATTAACTTTTTTTTTATATATAAATTTTTCTTTTTTTTAAAAAAAACCTTATTAAATTATTTTTTAATAAATTAAACCATTGTTTAATGAGATAATGGACCCCACTTAACGGAAATCAAATGGTTTATGTTAAGTGGTAGCAAAAGTTATATGTTGTAACTTTTGTTGGTATTAAAATAAAATAAAATTTTAGATGAGTAGCAAAAGTGAAATTTTCCAAAAAATTACATAAAATACACATCTATCTATAAATAAACTAAAACAACAATCGCTGACATTATCACTTTTTCAAATTGTACACATGTCAAGTTGAGGTAAAATTTTTCCCGCCTAAATTAATTGGTGACATCATATTTTATTTTTATTTTTATATTTTTACCTTAACTTATTACAACAGTTTTTTTAAAAAAAATTATTATTTTATTATATTATATTATGATGAATTTATGAGTTACTATTTGGTTTCAAAATATATTTACTCCCGGTACTTCGTATTGCATAATTTACTTAAATTTATACACTTTTTCAAAATTAGTTAGATCTAAATAGCATTGCAGTTAATGATTATGTTTTTATAATTTATCTCATACGAGAGGCATATGTAAAAGAGCAAACCCCTATTAATCTCCCACATAAACAAAACAAGTTTATCCCAACAGAAGAAAAATAAAATATGATAAACTTGCAAAAAGTAATAAATGTGGGTCCTATTATCAATAACGGAGGTCGTTGACGACGTTTGGTGAACTAACCCAAGTTAACATTTTTTTTCTTGATTTTGCTATCGTGTTCCATAAAGAAACTCATCACATAAAATCTTCTTCGTGCAAATCGACCATCGTACCGACACCGACATTGATGGCGGCTTCGCCGCCAAATTGAAACGAAAACCCTAAGAGAAATGGAGTAATTTAGGGCATGGTGAACCCCAAAGGGTAAGTGAGCTTCCCTTCCTCCATAGTTTTCTCCATTGAAAGCTTGAAATTAAGCTTTGATTACCTTTTGAACCTATGAGATTTCCATTTCCCATCATTGAACCTCATAGTAATTTTGCAGAAAGGAGATAAAACTATTTTTGGTTTTTGTAATTATGGATTGAAGGATGAGGAAGATGATGTACAGAGTAGTGCGGGTCGGTTACCATGGTCAATTGCAAATTTTAACGTTTGTCAAATGTCTATTAGCAAATGACAACTGTGCCCTCACTTTTAATTGGGAAATGAAGAATATAGGCCTAGATAAACAACTTTTGTTTATCATGGGTATAAATTTGAATTTTCTCATATGTAAAATAAATATTATTTCAAAGAAATTTTTTATGTCGTGCATCACACAAGGTTTATCAAGTTATACTAATCTAACAATGACCTTATTTGATTTTTTTTTTCCTTTAAAACTTTTCGTACAATTCAAATTCGACTATCAAATCTGATCAAATTATATCAGATCTAATCAATTCAAATTAAATTAAATTAAATAAACAAAATTAAGGTGAACTAAAGTACTAAACAAGCTAATGGCGAAATGAGAATGTACTCACTTACTCACCGTTTGATTTTATTAAGATATACGGACATTACGGAGTACTTATGCTTTTATTTTCCTCCGTTGTTTGCATTTTCCCCCTTTTTCACTTTTACGTTGCATCCCACCCCACCAACACCACCATTGAAGCGTACTCTGAATTCTCCATTGAAGCGACTTCTGAGCTTCTTCTCCTCCATTGAAACAATTTTTGAGGTATGAATTTTTTCTTTCTTAAAATCATCGAATTTCAATTTTACAATCTAGGGTTTAATTTTACAAAATCGTCGATTTAAATTGTCAGTATAGTCAATTTAGGATTCTTCTAAGGCGGAATATTGAATTGTTGGTTATGATTACTCAGTTATGAAAAATCTTAGCAAGTGATTTTGTTAGTAGAATTTTTCTGTGCGGAATTTGCGATGATATTGGGAAGAATTTTATGTGATTATTGGTGCCTAATTTGATAATTGAGTCGAATTCGATTGTTTATTTGTTTTAGGTTTTTGATTATATACCTTTAATGTTAGGACGTAACTATGAAAATGGACCTTTATTACCCGAACACAGGGCGGTCGTCCCTCGTGCTCTGACTCAGGGACGGGCCTATTTCTCGCATTCGTTAGATTTATTGGGTGCTGTTTATAGATTCCAAATTCGTGTTTTTTCGTATGTTGCAGGTTGGTTCGGAAGAAATGCCTTTATCGAAGCAGTATCGGTGTATGCATTCAGCAAGCTGTGCTTGTATGAAAGGGCATATAACAGAAGATGTGATCCTCCTTGTTTTCCAGCAGTTAAATTGGAACCCTAAATTGATTGCAGCGTTCTCTTGTGCTTGTAAATGGTTTGATGATTTTGCAAAGAGAGTGTTGTGGAAAGAGTTTTGTAAGACGAGAGCGCCTAAGATGATGATCGATCTGCATTCTAGTGGTAGTCATAGTGTTGATGGGAGCTGGAGGGCGCTTGGGAAATTGCTTATCTATTGTTCAGGTTGTAGCAAAGGTGGCTTGTTTAATAACATTCATATACCTGGTCATTTTGTATACAGAACCCGTTTTTCTCGAACATCAGGAAAGAGTTTTCTTTTGCCACAGTGCAGATCGGATGTGTTATATGTCTCTGATCCCTGTGAACATCTTGACCAAGGGGAAGATGGGGATATTGGATTTTTTCGGGGTATGTTTAAGTCCTTTTCTATGTCCAAAGTTCGCAAGTTGCTTATCAAGAGAAAAGCACAACTACACCCTACAGAAGCATGCCCTTATTGTAAAGCAAAATTGTGGAGTATGCAAGAAGCAAAAATGATACCACAGAGTGCCAGTTGCAGGTTGGGAGCTTATGAAGATGCAATTGAGTATTATGTTTGTCTTAATGGTCACATGCTAGGGGTCTGCACTCTTTTACCTTTGTCTGAATCTGAGGATGCATCTGAATTGGAGTGATTGTCAAATGAAATACAGGTACTTTTTAAATTTTTGATCTATGTTTGCCTATTAGTTATAATAACCCCTGTCTTAAATATAATAATGCCCATAACTTTCTGTTAATATTAAGGAGTGTTATTATTGAATAGGGTTTAACACAACCTATGCTAGTATGGTGGGAAAGGGGAAATTGGTTGAATTAGTATTCAATTATTGACCAAAGCAGGTTATAGAAGTATAGAGTATGGTTGATCATAAGATAAAGGAGGACAATTACTTGGGATAGGCAGAGTGTGTTGAATCCAATAATAGTATATTTCCATGCTAGGACCTTCTGTTGAATTTAAGATTTTTATAAGCTTTTGGATGACTCATCTGTAATTACTAACACATTGTTTTATTCTTTCAATTGAACTTTAATTCAACTTATTATTGTGAAATGAATGTAAATTGTTTGGTCTTATTCACATTAAAAAAAAATTCAAGGTGTAGCGCAAGGCATGAATGGGCTCCTTTTGTCTTTGTTTTGGTGTACCATTTTGGTGTTGTTTCTTGGAAAGTACCTATTGAACTAGTTACTTGTTTGACTTATGCCTATATATGCATCCATTCTTACAACACATGTTGGGAAGTTCTTTTAACTTGATCTCCTTTGTTTGCTTCAATAAATTACACTGTTAGAAAGAATAGAAACTGTGAAATGCACGTCATTAATACAAGCAAGGCTACGTTTAGTTCACCGTATTCAAGCACTTTATTACAATTACTTATATTAGATTAATAAAAAAGGTTAAGATCTACTTTATCGATAAATGTGCGATTTTTCGTCGCAATATCTTTAATTTTGTAATATAAAAAAAAATGAAAATTGTATACGAAATATTTTAAAAGTAATGCAAATTTAATAAGACCCCTTTTGATATTTTTTTCCTTATGGATTATATAAGGTCAAAATTTAGTCAAATTGGGCAATTAGATCAGTTTAGAAAAAAATAAGTGAAGATCATATCAGAAAAAATAAGATGAACTAAACATTGCCTAAATTATTAGGGCGAATATATTATATGGACAACCATTCTAATTCATGTTGTTGTAGTTTTGATTGAAAATTGAATTTTTACAATAATTTAATAATAAAAGAACTAATAATGGTTGTACAAGAATAAGAACAATTACCTAAATATTAAAGTGAAGTATATTAAAAAAAATGTAAAAATAAAGAGTTGAAATTATGAATGATTAAATAACACAAAATAAGAAAGAACCCATAGAATCTTGTACGTAAGATTTTAGTAATTTTAGTTAAGTTTTTATGTTAAAAAATAGAATGTTAATAGACTTTATTAAAGACTACTCCTTTCGTCCTAGACCTATGTTTACACTTATCATGACACATAGTTTTTCGTGATAACGTGTTTTCTATCGTTATTTTGTTGGATAAGTAGATGTGAAAGAAGACAATTGGGTATTATTTTATTTAACAACTAGATGTGATAGAAAATAGTGAGATTCTTTTGAAGTACACGTGAGAGAGAGTGAGTCTTTAACATTTTAGTGGTGAAGAGAGACATGTTAAAATAATTAAGGAAGTATAAAAACATAATTGAGAATGATGAAAAGGAAAAATGTAAAATTTAATTTTGGATAGAGTAGTGATTTTTTGTTTTTCGGTTGTAGATTTGGAGGAAATCGGTTCGTTTGGGATAAGAGGGATCCCCCATTCACGTCTACTTGAGTAATATGTAGATTGGGAAGTATTAGTCCATCAAGGCATCAACTTTCCTTCTAATTATTTTATCATTGTTTTAAAAGATGGGTTCTATGTATTAAAAGCACTAAGGTTAAGGATGTTACTACTTGAGCGAGCTTGTAGAGTTGTAGGAGTCAACTTAATAAGTAATACATGTGATCGCGAGCTTAATCAATCTTTCAATTTGCTTCTTTTAGCTTAGCTCATGCTAGTTTAAATTCGACCTCAACTTGATCTAGATCAAAATTAAACTAGCTTTTGATAAGCAAGCCTATATGTACAAGCAAGGTGGAATTTTAAGTAGCATAAATCTAAATATACATGCTCTTAATATAAATATTTTTAAATTTTTTGAAATTGTCAATTGTATTAACAAGTTTGCGTAGTAGTACTATATCTCCTAAAGTAAATTAATATGATACAAATCATACAATTTTTGATTTTTAAGAATGTATAAAAAAAGTAAAAAAAAAAAAAGATTTTTATTGATTTTCTAACCTTAATGTTAGGATGTGCTATGAACAATATGTATTCTAAATATGATAGTGGTATTTGCTACTTCCTTTGTTATTTTATTATTGTAACATGAAGGTAGTGTACAATATTTTAGGAGGCTGCATGATGATGTGAGAGCAAATAAGGAATTTTTAAATAAGTAAATTTTTTTGTCAGAAACTACCTAAGACCTATGTTTCATATTATTTGTAGCTTTGAAATATTTTTAAATCTCACTAATAATACACCAAAGTCTATGAAACAAGGTAGTATTTATTATAATAATACCATTTTTGGAATTATTATCTTTTAATATATATATATATATATTTTTTGTATTTTGAAACAACCACGCTAAGAACCCCAAAATTTTTGTTAGTGATACCTATTATCGGTTCCGTTTAAAATTTCCATTTGTAGCCCCCCCTCTCAATTCATGTTTAATTCATTCATGTTATACCCTTGATCACGATAATTCAAAGCAAATTTTAAATGAAAAGACTTGAAATTTCAATGACTTGCAATTACAATATTTGGTTCATTAATCCTAGGCTTTCAAATTAATATATTTAGAAAGTTGATTATCAAATTTGGAGGATTAGGGTTTTAATTTTGGGAATTAGGGTTCTTGAATAGATGTATACCTTTAGGGTTCTTGAATCAATTTATAGGATTTAAAAACCTATTTATGGGTTTAGTGTTTTTAAACCAACTTAGGATTAAATGTTGCTATTGGGGGTTTATAATTATGGGAATTAGGGATTGAATTATGGTATGAAGCTATAATAGAATTAGGTTTTATTAATTTTGGAATAAAGCTCATTTTTGTTTTAATGGAAAATGACTTATTGGTTAAAATAATTTTCCATGGAAAATAATTCTAAGGGAAAAGCACAATTGTAAAATTAGTATTCCTTTGTTTGTTTCCTTACGAGAAAAATTATATATAAGGGAAAATAGGAGTGGAAGGGAGAAGATGGACGAGAGGAGAGGTATGAGATGTAAGGAGCAGGTAGGAAAATGTGGCATATCTTCCTTTAGAAGGAAAACATTTTCTACTCCTGTGAGAACTATTTTCCACCTTTGGGAAAATTATTTTCCATCCCTTTGCTAACCAAACAATGGAAAATGACATAGCCTTAGGGCTCATAAATTTGGGTGATTTGGTTTTGTAAATTTAGAAACTATGGCTTATAAAGTTTGGGATATTATAAATTTGGGAATGAAAGTTTAACTATCAACTTAGGGTATTAAGGGCATAATGTGCTTTTGCTTTTAGTATTTAGACATAAAATCGAAAAGTGGGGCCTATAAATGGATGTTTTGTATACCCAAACTATTTGGGGTTTAAAGTTCGTTTCTTTCGAAAAAAAAAAACAAAGTTTTAACAGCTAGCTATTTCTAAAATTGGTTTTTATTAGGCAAGTCTTATTCCTACCCTAAAATCAAATAAGGTAAGCTTATAAGTGAATTGTTTCGCGAGCCTATATAAATCGAGCGCAATTCATAGCTTAAATTGTTTATTACTACCTTCATTTCATATTATGTTTATAATTGGATTTTTTTATGCCAATCTTACTAACCCTCCTAACTACATAATTTTGGAATATAAATATTTTAATAAAAACTTTTAGAGCTTAGGCAAGTCTTATTCCTACCCTAAAAATCAAATATAGGTAAGCTTTTAAGCGAACATAAGCGAATTGTTTCACGAGCCTTTATAAATCGAGCACACAGTTTTCATAGCTTACATTGTTTATTACTACCTCCATTTCATATGATGTTAATAATTGAATTTTTTTATGCCAATCTTACTAACCCTCCTAATTACATAATTTGGTAGTATTAATATTTAAGTAAAAACTTTTAGAGGGTAAAATTTTTGGTTAGGCCGACAAATTTTACTACTCTTTCACTCTAAAGTCTTTTATAGTCTTGACTTACCCTTAGTACCCACCCTCAATTCTTACGCAACTAACCCTTACCTTCTAGTGTGTGTTTTTTTCTTTAGTTTTATAAAATAAAATATGTTTATTTTAATTTAAAGTATAAATATTAATTAGTTTATTAAATACTAAACTGTATAATGTCTTGTATGAATTAATAGAGTAAGTGGGTTAAAGGTTACCAGGTTAGGTTTGGGTCAAGGTTTATTAACCCGTTTAATATTGTCATGAACCCGACACGACACGACATGACTTGTTTAACCGCTCTACCTAATTGTTTTTGGGAACAATTTGAACAAGAAGGGTTACCGAGGAGAGAGGTATGAAGCAAAGTACTGAAGGAAAAATCCAAAGAACATATATTTTTTTTTTCATTTGTCAAATTTTTTTAAGCTAAAATGTTTATTGTTTAGATTAGTCAGAAACTCATAATAAATGAATGGCTTAGATTTGATCTAATAAAATGGCTGCTATAAAACTAGGAATAATAATAAAAATAAATGATAAAAAGGGAGGGGTCCACCTTTTTGCTTTAAAAATTAGGTTAGGGTTATTTTACTCATTAGAGCTGTCAATGACCTTCTTCTTCCTTCTACTCATTTCTTTCTTCATTTTCCTCCATTAAAGGAACTTGATGCTTTAATTAAATCTAAAAAACTCAAAAAAATAGAAGTTTCTTTCGCCTATAAATGTGTACTCTGTCAAACACGAACCAGAGCGAACAAGTTCCGAGTTTCGGGGCACGTTCCGTGTATCAATGTAGCAGCCACTTAAAGTAATAATTTTTAAAAAAAAATCATATTGAGATGTGTCTGACAAGAAACCCCCGAAACCTTTATGTGACATTTTTCGGCACGCAAATAAGAAAAATTTACCGGTGGGAATGGTGGCCGGAAAACTCACTAAAGGTGCGCTTTGCACCCAAGTCATTAGTTTGTGGTGTTTTGGCCACTAAGAAAAGTACAGGGTGCACCCAAGCCATAGTTATGAAGTTAATTTTTGGAATAATATTTCTTTTGTTATATTTACGTTCAAAACACCATTTTAGCACGCACTTTAAGAAAAATATTGGACTAGGTAAACGGACAAACTAATTGAAATAATTTATAATCGATAAGTAAAAAGTGTTATGTTATAGTTTAAGTTTTATAGCTTTATAGATCTGTTTACCTTTTCTAATCACTTTCTCAAATAGTATGTTAATACATTTAGGAACTATATTCCAATTTTAACTTTGGTAGTATGTCGGGCCATATTCCATATTTGATGATAGATTATGTGATTAATTAATTTTCCAATTTAAAGATAATGAAGCATTTTAGGAGACCTCATTACGTGATTCAAGGTGTGTATCATTTGTTAGCATACAAATTGGGTTGATGTACATGGCTTTTGTACAAAATTAGTGATTAAAGGGGTTTAAGAAGTCACACATGAATTCATGATTTAAAAGTGATTTCATACAGACACCTTGGTAATTCAGTGAAACCATTTTGTGGCTTGGTGCAACATGTATTGAAAATCCCAACTTTGTATAATGAGGATTATTTTTTGCAAATGATGCGAAGTCCCGATATTTAGAGGCCATTTTTACTACAATTTATATGGTTATCTCTTGGTAGATTGATCACTCATTGGTAAGAGAGGAAGAAATTAATGGGAGAATAGTTTGGGGCTGGGCATGTGATTTTAGAGAGTATAAACTGGACAATGAGGTGTCTTATGTCCATTTTTAGTTAGATATAGTATCCGGAAAATATAAATTAAATATAAATGTCAGGTTCATTAATTTGGAAATTAAATTGTCTATTATTCTGGAAGAAAAACTTTTATCATGGTGTTAAGTTTGACAAAGACATCCTCAAGCGTGTTCTCCATTTGTGTTGCAAACATGTGTGTTTTTTTCACCTGAAAATTATGATACCAGATTTGGGAAAGGGTTTGATATTCTGTCAAGGAATATTCTAAGCTTGACTATGCAGTGACTTGGTTATGAGTGAGCCTAATTTTGATTGGGACATTTAATTTGGACAAGGGTGCTTTCCTTTGATATGCATGTATGTATATGAGTGTTGATAGTCCCTTGTTTTATTGATACTGAAGTATCCATAGCCAAGTGGATTGTCAAGTTATCTCATAAACTTAGTTGACTTTTCTACTATTTGCGTGATCTAAACTTATCATTAGTTGTGATTTGTACTTTCTAACCCATGTTTCTACCTTTTTTTTGCTTGTGAGAAAATCTTATTAGATATTATGTGAACTTGGTGTGGTAGTTAGATAGTCATTAGGGTCTTGGTATGGTAAGCTATGGAGTCGCATAAACTATCTTACTATTTTATTATTAATAGCTTTGAATGAATTCTAGCATATCCCATTTGAATTGATGTTAGTAGTCCCTACTAGTCATTCTTCTTTAAACAGTTTAGTTTTTAGGTGTTAAATCAGAAGAGTGTGGTGCCCAAAACCCTGTGTTGTGCTGGCCTGTTGGGTGGTATTTGTGCTGTGGGAGAGGGACAACGGTAATAGAGAGAGAGAGAGAAATAATGGGGAAAAAGTGCTGTGGGAGAGTGACAATGATAATGGGTGTTAATTGCCAAAGAGGTGAAAGGAGACGAAGAAAAATAGTGGGGAAAAAAGGAAAGAAAAGTTATTTTTCTAGGTGATTGAAAGTTTGGGCTTCTTTTAGAATGTTGTTAGTAGTTAGGAGAAACATCAATTTATATTTCCCATTTTGAAAACGGTTTCAGAAACTCTTTGGATACATCTTTGTTATATGACTAACTAGTTCTTCCCATCATGGATTCTTTTATTTTTGGGATGGCCATTTTTTTTCTTATAATCTCTCTCAATAAACCTATAGCTTGAGACCTTGTTCTATTTGTATTTTGTAGGCAAAAGAAACTGAATTATTGTTTCTATTTTTTCCAGAATATTGAATTCACCTCTATTTAGGGACTATGAAGTCTGTAGGAGATGAGCAATGATATTCGCCCAGCCAAAATAATACATTATTACAAAGTCTCAATCAATCAGTTGCTACAGTTAAATTTTGATCTCCTGTTGATTTGCTATTCTCCAACCATTTTATATTGTTAGCAAGTGTTTCGGAAGTCCCTGCTGATAGAAAATGTTACATCTCATAGTCTTGTGGTTTGAGTTTTGCCCTTCGTTTTATTTAACTCTAGACTTGCTGTTAAATGCAAAATTGGAATTTGCTTTAATTGTATTGGAAGCCAAGTATTTAGCTCTGTTTTCAGTATTTATGCTGACTGATGGGCCTGTGGCCGTGCCTGTTTTTCGAACTAGATGAACTATGGCAGTGAATATTTGCGTTGCTTGACTCTCAAATTTGTTGGGAGACTTGGAAGAAGCTTGGTTCCATTTAAATGCTGGGTCTAAAATCAGCCAACTGAAGAATATTTCTAAACATCTGGGATCTGTGCATCACTCAAAACTCTGGGGGACAAGCTGACAGTCGTGGAAGGAACGCAGTTCCAGGTATCTTCACTGGTTGATTTTACTGACATAAAAAAGTCCTTCGAGAGAATAGTGTATTAAATTTGTTTGTACATTGTATAATTCATAATGTATCTCAGATGCATCAGCATCATTTCTTGTTCAGTTATTTTCAAATTCATAGCTGCATGAATATCATTCTAAATAATTAATTTCATGTTTAGTTCCCTGCACTTTTAGCTTATGTTTGTGTTGATCCATTTTTGAAATAAAGCAAACAAAAACAACTAACAATCACAGACTCACAGTGCAAGTAACATTGTAAGTGTTAACTGCGTAGCACAATATAAGGGACCAAAAATGAGATTGGTACACAAGCAAAATGAGATTGATACACAAGACTTGGCCTAAAAATAAGGGAACCACGAGTCAAACTGGTTCAAATTAATGGGTTAAACTCTTGAGGAAGGAAAGAAAAAGGGTAATTCCACAACTTTATGATTTTGAGATGTCTTGCGTACCAATTAAATAATGAAAAATGTTATACATAATCCTTAGAGCTACATATAAGCATTAAATTTACACTTGAAAATCGTAAAAAAGTTCAAAAATATAAAAATCTAATCGCTAATTACACTGATTTATGCGTGTTTTTGTCTTGAATTCCTAATTTTATACAATTTCTAAAAGTATCTTTAATGCTTATATATAGCCCTTAAAGTTACATATAGCATTATTGCATTACTCAATAATTAATGGTCCAATACTAATATTACTACTATTAAATTCCTGTATAATGGCACGACAAATATACCATTTTTTTCCCCTTCTCTTCCTTTCTCAACCTCTTGCGAATTGCGATTACTCTCTCACTCAATATCCACATTTTTTTTGTCTTTCTTATGCACACCTTTATCATGATCTTTTTCCTTTCTTTGTTGAGTAATGCTTTCATTTTATTCATTCTTAGAATTATTGATGACTAAAGTAATTAGAGGCTAAGCCAAACTAAAACGAACAAAGGAAATATTTAGAGATGATGATAAGGTTGTTTTCAATCTATTGCCAATATGCAATACACTAATCATTATTAAAAACATCAATTTTCGGTTATATTGATTCAGATCAGGTTAAAATTAGTTCAAGGAATTTTGGGTAGAGCAAATCCATTTGAAAAAGGTTTAATTCTCTATTTTTGTTTTAAACTGTTTTTGTAATATTTTTGATCCATGCAACATTTATTCAGTTTATACTTGTACTTGTTTACATGCCATAGCCTAAAAATATGGATCCATATGTAGATACAAAATCTAATCCGAAGAGCTTTTTGTTTTTTTTTACGGGCTTGTTTGTTATGACTATATCGGTTTTAGGATTTCACAAAGTCTTATATGTGGTTGGCTATACGGTGTGGCCAACCACTATAGGGGTTACTTTGCTAGTGTAATGGGGGTTACTTGATCAGTGTTAAAGAGGTTACTTCATAATTGTTATAGAGTTACTCGGTCAGTGTTATAGGGGTTACTTGATTGGTATTACAGGATTACCTGATCAATGTTATAGGGGTTACTTTAAGTGGTCACACGGTGTGGCCGGGCCGCACACAAGACGAGCTGTTAGGATTTATATTTATATGATTTAGGTTGGCTTATATTATAAACAAATATTATCCACTTATATAAACATGTTGATTTTGACAATCTACAACAAAAAATTTGAAAACTACGGGCTTGTTTGGCATCAGTTTTGGTTTTCAGTTTTCTGTTTTTTTTTTAAAACCAAAAACCCAAAACAGGAAACAAGAAAAAGGTGTTTTCACTTTTTTGTTGTTAGTTTTTAAAATTATCATAATTTTAATAAATTAATATATAATTGTTGATTCATTATGGGACACATATCATATACTATTAGAAAACAAAAAGCCAAAAAACAGAAAACCACAGCAATGTCAAACAAACCCTACATTTTGTGATTTCCATAGTTTTGTTAAACTAATGAAAACATAACAACATACGGTTGTAGTTTCACTTATTAATATCCAAATTTAATTTTAGTATGAATGATTTCAAGTTCATTAGAAAGAAAAAAGACAAAAAAAGATGTACAATCTTGTAGGTGTTATCCAATTAAGTTATTTTATAATGTAAGAATGTCTAATTTGAAGGGATCAAATTTGTAAGAAATTAATTTGTTTGACTAATTCATGTAATTTGCATGGATTACAATTGCTAAATAGTGTGAAAACTTGATAAACTAGCACACTTTAAAACAAGGGAAATTTCCATTCAATTACAAGAACAATCACTTCACTCTAAATGAAACATACATAGTTGCATATAAGTCCATTAAAATTAGGAAAAGTTATACAAACACAACTACTAAACTTAAATAAAAACACAAGCCTGCTTCACAAACAAAGTATTTATTGATCATATGATCTTTAGTAACTAATAGCCTGGGGGCTTGTAGGCAATGAAACTGATGCATTGAACTTGACGGAAACTGTCAAACCCGATGATCCTAATGAAGGCATTAGGGTAAGCCTTCTTGGCCTCCTCGAGCTCGTTCACCACTTGTGTTGGGTCAGTGCACCCGAACATGGGTAGTTTCCACATGGTCCAGTAGCGTCCATCATAGTACCCTGGTGACCTGTGGTTCTCACGGTACACAAATCCGTGCTACACAAAATAACAAATATATGTTAGCTTAGTGTAATATTATTATGATCTAACACTAAAACTATACAAGGGGAATTCCTAATCAATTGTGTCTTTCATTCAAGCGCTTAAAGTTAAATATGCTTGTACAAGATTTAATCCCACGACCTGAAGTTTTAAAAGTAAAGTGTTAGTCACTAAACTATTACCATATTATTTGTCATTATATTAAAATTAATAAAAATAATGATTTCAACCATGAAATTAATGCAGTAACTCGAGGCCTCGCCGCCTGAGCCTAAAAACTAGTGTAATTTTAAAAGACGGAGTATAATGGAGCTTACTTCAGTCTCGAACTCTAAGCAAGGAACCCATCCATTGTTAAGAAGGTATTGGATTTCACTAAGCAATGACTCAGGGGAAAGTGGTGGGAGGTAAGACAAAGTCTCGAACTTCTTCTTGCCAATTGGTGGCCATACTTGCATACATTGCACTCTTCCACCGTTGCTAGCAAGGGAGGTAATGTCGACGTTGTTCTTCCTGCTAACAGGGAAAGCTGAAGTAGACTTCAACCCATTGAATGGAGCCACCATGTTGGCCTGAACACTGCCAGCCGAGGCAACAGCCGAGGCAGCATTGGACATCAAGCTAGAAGCCATTTCTCTTCCCCTTCTTAATTTCTTTTTTCTAACTTTTTTTTTTCTTAGAGTGATGCTTATGTTCAACTATACAAGTACTATTTATACTAGTGAAAATATTTGTGTTAGATTCCTTAAAAAATTTATGTTCACTAGTTGAAATTTTTTAAGATAATATGTGATATGAAATGTTTGAAAATTCTTGGCCATTTGAATCATGAGTGGGTAAGGTTCTGAGGTAATAGGTATCAGCTTAGCCACAAATGAGTTAGCTTAAAGATTATGTTTTTCAACATTTTCCTCCTAGCACATTTAAGAGACCGTCCAATTTCCACCTTAAATTCAATTTATGACTTGTGTTTGTTCTGTTTTTGATTATGTACCTATATTCCTTTGCCAAGTGGAAATTATTGGAATGAAAACGACAAATGTCACCTTATCATTTTCTTTCCCATGAATAATGTATTACTCGTAGCATTATTTTGGACGATGGTCCTTTTATGGTTAAGAAAAAAAATATTCATTTATAATACTCTGCAGTTGATAGTTGTCTCTCTCGATTATCTAATTTATGTACAATTTTCATAACTAACTAGTCACATTACTCACATATCTTGAATTAATCATAAACTATCGGTACACTATGATGATAACATTAACAAATTTTTACAAGTACATAGTCTCTTCGTCTCATTTTTAGTCTCATTTATAATTTGCACAGTTTTCATTGCAATATAATAATAACAATATCTCTATATACTAATCAAGAATTTGTGACAATTTGTTTCAAAAAAAAGTATTTGTGACAATATAAAATTTGATATATAAAAACTAAAAATCAAGATAAATGTAACAAAATCTCACAAAGTATCAAGTTCTAATTACATGGATTTCCTTTGGTATGGAATCCTTGATGGCAAGGGAAGAGCACATAAGCCTCAATTCTTAAATTCCCCAAGTGGAGACCAAAATGTGAAGAATAAAATCACTAGACCATGTCTTGCTTAATATTTCCTCCGTCTTTTTAAATAAATGATTTTTAAAAAATGCAATACATAAACTTTAATCATTGAAATTCTTCCATTTAAAAAAATAAAAAAAATTCATTGAAATTCTTTGACTAAATTAAATAAAATTACACAAAAATAAAAAGGTATTTTGAAAATATATTAATACATATCTAACAAGATTCCTTATTTACCATGATTTTACCTTTGGCTATAAATCACAATAGAATCAAAGCAGAGAATGAATATGCAAAAGTCAAAAAAATGTCAACTCATTCATACACACAAATAGTTATGTATATGTTCATGCAAATAAATATGGAACCTACAAGAACACAGGATGTATAGTTAAATTAGACTACCATTATTCAGTCAGTTGACATTTGTAGCACTAGCAGCTAAAAACTGAAGAAAATAAGGCAAGCAACTATTTACATTGCATTATGATCATGACTCTAAGAGACAGGGCTACGTTCTTGCTGAATTACTCATAAGCAGAATCCATTCGAAGTCTGGTAATATCAAAGATCCAGTTCATCCTCAGTTTCATCATCATCTTCTTCATTGAAGTCCAAACCCGTAATGGTCATCTTTCCAGTGTTAACTGAGACAAAAATAAAATAAATATGTAATCACAAAGACTTCACCATTAATCCATTATATACAATATAGGTCATTTCACATCAAACTGTAACATTTGCTCTGTTGGGTTCACTGCAAAAGTATGGAAGGATTTTGTCTAAATGCTGTGAATGGGACACTTGTTGCCTCTTTTCTAAGAAAAATAAGTCATAGAATAGCATTAGCATCGCCGAATGATAAAATTATAATGCGTTACAAACGGTAAACATGGCAATGAAAAAGGAGTGAAAGCAGAGGGAGGTAGTAGATTCAAGAAGTCAGATTCATTCAGAAGTGTTGTTAGGAGACATCAAACGATTAAGTTTTAAAAAGATGAGA